TGTGGGATCTTTCGAACCCTTGTGCTTGCAGATGTGAGAAAAAAAGCGGTGCAACCAATAAAAATTATGAGCTGAAGTATCATACCAGCCAATCAGTAATTCATTGATGAGATATCAGGAAAAGTCCCATTGACACCAAGAGACAAGTTTGTCAAATGGTGTTCTATGTCAAACCAAACCAAAGACCATTTGGCCAGTGTTAAATTCTCCTAAAACACATTTGTTTTGTCTCACGGTACGTTTGTTTGTTTTGTTGTTCGTCTGAAGTCCAGTTGAAGGAATTTAAGGGAGTTCTCATCTCCACTTTTGCTTGTGTGCTTTTTCAAATGGACTAATTTTGATTAGCGATTATCCTTGTCTTGGGAGCAGCCTGCAATTCTTCTTGCTAGTTCAGCATTCAGTAAGGCAAGAAAAAGCTGTTATTTTAAGCGCAAATGTCAATCACTTGGTGATGATCTTCAGTTTTTTAAACATACGAATTCGATTCTCCGTGTTCGCCCACATGCCCTTCGTAGCCAATCGGCCGCTGACGAGATGTTTCATAATGCTCTAATTATTAGCTGCACATGTCTCCATTTCACTTCTGCATTCTGTGAATTTAGATAAGTTCGGTGTAAAATATCAACGCAAGGCAATCTTTGTAGAGGCATTTCATTTTTTACATATATTGTTACACACTGAGAGAAACTTGGACGACTCAAAGGTACCCTTGTCATCGAAAGACATATTTACGGTTTTTAATCTGAGCAAGTCAGTTCACGAGAAATGTAAAAAGTTCCACTTTTCTTTCACTGCTCAACTTTTGACTTTTTGTTTCCATACAGCCAAGTGCAACACGAGTTAACTGTCAAAAAATAAGGTTTGAATGTTTGATCTTCCCTCGCACTTTCAATCCAAAGTTTATGAAACTGCAATGTGAGGGGGGGGGGGGAACCAAAAAACATTTGGTACAAATTTTTTTGCAAACTGCAACAGCAGCTGCGACTTTCAATCCAAAGTTTATGAAACTGCAATGTGAGAGTGGGGGGAAAAAAAAAAACAAAAAACATTTGGTCCAAATTTTTTTGCAAACTGCAACAGCAGCTGCAGTTTGTACTCTGAAGGATTCTTGTTTCCTTGAGGGAATCCTTCTTTGTGATGGAGTTCCATAGTAGCTAAATTCAACTCCCGAAGCGCTGTGAAGAAGGGATAGTTTGTTTGAACAAAGGTCAGGGGCTGCTCATGTTAGAGGAGCCCGGTATACAACTTTTATTCCCATTCCAACAGATTTGACCATGAACGTTAACTCACAGCTTTATGCACGTTGGTGCGAAAATACTATACTTGATATGTGTCACTTTTCACGACAGAAAACTTCTTAAAAATCACTCATGGCTTGATGCTATGAGCCAGAGTGTGTCCACTATTGGAAAAAGAGCGAGCAGTCGCTTCTTGCTAATCAAGGGCCTAGCCGCCCCATAGTGCGCGTGCGTTGTGCGAGAAGGGGGGTGAGAAAGTTCCCTCATCTTTACTGGGTAATCCCTTGATAAATAAACTAGGAAGGCAAGACCACCATTGCTATCCGTAAACCAATACTCCCCTGGAGGAGGCATGGCCCTGGGCTAGGCTAGCCTATACTCAATCTCTCGCTGAGCTCTTCTTACACACACTTGCCTCAAGATGATACACTTAAGAGATGCAGATACATTGGCACGGTCGTACAAAAAAAAAAAAGCATCAGAACTATATTTAACGTATACTATGTTGATAAGCAAAGCCTTGTCCTGCATGCTACGTGTCCATCTGAGTATGAGCATCGCATTTCCTTGGTCGCCTCCCTCGCTGGCAAGCTGCCTCGCATCAGTCTCGCCCTTCATCAGTCACTGTCCTCAGGCAATCAGACAGGGAATGTTCCATAAAATAGCTGAAATTGTGAAGGTATAACAGGGGCAAACAGGTGGCCCAACACCAGCGCGCCTGCTCAAGATCCAACCATACGGGATTTTCCTTCTCACGCCATCGGCAGGTCAAGAGATAATTGATTTATAGTCGGGTTCTTGTCCTGGTCGTAATTCAAGCTGTCGCTCGATTGGTCCTCAGGATTACGGAGTCACGAGAGACAACTTTAAGGGATCATATCAGTGTTCCTCAAGTTCACCCGGAACAGGGACTTTGTCTATTTTCCCTGCGAGGACGCTGCATTCTGTTTATATTCACATGTTTAGTTAGGCGCGTAAATAATTTGTATTTTGTTTTGCTTTCCCAGACTTTGACTGATCTCTTGCTTCATGAAAAGCAGAGCCTCTCTGCGCTCGCTGTAAAAATAATGCGGGAATGACCTCCTGTTGAGAGTCGCATTTTTCCAGGATGTTTACATTTTTTTGTCTCTAAGAATAGCAAAGTGTCACACTATGACAGGTGAGAAACGATATGGATTAGAGGAAGGACATAAAATATCGCGTTTTGTCTCGTAAATGTAGACAAAACCTCACAAACACTTCGGAGAGGTAAACAGTGTTCCCGAGTCAGTGGACACAAATCCCCAACTGCCTATTTATCAGCCTGTTATGCTAAAGCGTCTTGTATGTCTCAGACTTTTGCCACTTCACTCAGTAACCAAGGACTCCGAAATATTACTGCTAAAGAATTCTCAATGTTTCCGTAACATGGGGCAACCGAGCTATCAAATATTTTATTCTATTTTATTCTCTTATTCTACTGATTTTCCCATCGAATAATCAAGAAACCAGTTCAAATGGATTTAGCAGTATTAAACAATAAAATATACATGTGAGGTGCGGCTGAAATAGTTTTGGGGTTCCCATACTCATGTTCCACACCATACAATCTGTGACTTGGAGTGTGTGTCGCTTTAAAATAAAATCTGGACTAGTGAGCTACATCGGAGTCAACTAATGAGAATGTAGTGTTGGTTGTTGTGAGCTCAGGCTAGCAGATAGCCTGTTAGCCGGCTAACCGTTGGCTTATCTGTATGATCTGTTGGCGTCAGTTGTATAAATTTGTCCATTGTGTGGTTATTTTGTGACATTCAGTTCAATAAAGCAACGGAAAGTGCACTAGTGGCTGTTTCTACCTTAGGCTACATGTGGGGGTGATGCATTACGTTCCGACTAGCGGTGGTACTGTAGGCTATGTTAAAGCAGCTATCACGGGTATACTTGTGTTAATGATAGTCGACGTTTTCTTGTGGCATGTTCGTTAATTCTGTTGCTTAAGTGTGAAATGATTCCAAAGCTTTCTCTGCCTTTTACAGATACTTTACTATTGGCTCACTAACATTGTGCTAGCTTATTTTTACACCCAGTGGTGTGTGAGTCCAGAGTAACATGAGTCCATGTAGAAAAATTATTTTGAAACTTTGAAGGAAAGATTTTGCCTCAACCTTTTTTGTCGTTGTATTATTAGCTTCATGATTATTTTAGCCCTTGTCGTAAATATGATTGCAAAATGCCTGAAATGTTATCACAGGCAAACCATTTAATCACTCGTTGGAATTTGAAACCCCAGTATTTTTCTTCTTACTTTTTACATATTATTTTCAACACTTCTTAAGGCGATATAACTCGCGTTTATGGTTTTATTCCACTAAGATTGATGTTTTTAATGAACTATTTTGGCTCTCATGTCATAAATTGTAATATACCTCCCAGTGAACAAAATATTTCCTACATGTGCCGATTATTTCGAGTCAGTCAAGCAGTGCGACACATGCAAGGAGCGTGAACGCGCAGGTCCCATCGGCTACATTGACTGACAGTTGCTGTGCTCGGATCTTTTCTGGCGGCCACAATACTTTGTGTCTGTATGTACATTTGTGGAATGTTTGCACTCGCATGTGTGGCACTCGCATGTGTGGCTGGGAGCCGTTCCAGCACATGTGAGGGTTTTATGGGTCCGGTGGGGGCTAAGGTTAATGCAATAAAACAACCTTACCCGTGCCCTGTGTCTGCCTAGAGAGAGGATTTGCGACTGAAAGACAAGGAAGAATATAAAGCCACATGAGGAGAGCAAAAGTGAAGACTGAAATGCAAACAGTTCAATGCAGATGCCATAGTTGTGTTTTCATAAGGAGGCATCTGTTGACCCCACTTCTTAAGAATAGATGACCGTGAAGTGAAAACTTAGACGCAAACACCATTAATAAGAATTGGCTAATCGAGCTATTGCGTAAGTGGATGTTTAGAAGCTTTATGACGTTTTAGAAAACACGTGTACACCGTTGCATAACCCAACCCTTAATTTATAAATATGACTAAATATCATAATATTTTACAAATGATGTGATCGTATTCTATCTTATATTAACTGCTTCAAGACTCCACAGTTGCCACACGTAATTCATGGTGGTTATTGAATTGATTCGCATGCGCATACTCAGTTGTGACCCCAATTCGGTACAGTGACTCGAAATAGTCTTTTTAGCATGACCTCACCTAAAACGGATCACCTCTCTGTCAGCATTCACCCACAAGTCACGATAAAGGAGCGTTAGAATCATTACGCTTTCTTTCTGCCTTATCGAGGAGCTTTAAATCATGTTAACTGGGGGGCTTTTAAGACGATGAGATGTCATTGATTTTGGTTTGGAGCAACACGTCCCCTCCATTCTCGTTGACCCTTGATGTCTCCTCCCCGCTCCTGGCTTTGAGAGGCCACTTGAGATCCTTGCCCCCATTGCCAACTGCACACGCGTTCACCCCCATGAGGTCGTGGAATGTTCTACATTTTACTGTCAGCACGTGCAGCGAGTCCTTTCTCGACTGCTTTTCGTTTCTGTTTTTAGACCCGGTGTTGCGCAACATTTGAACTCCTTTGAAAAGGATCAGTCAGTAGCGCGAATTCACCTTAAGAGTCGACTTGCGTGCTCTCAAGTGAGCAGGTGTCAGCTGGTTTATGGAAGTCACCCACCGCAGCTCCGCCACCCCCTGCTGCTCTGTGTTTTTTTTTTTTTTTTTTAGCCTAACAAGTGTGTCTGTGTGTTTTCTCTGTGTTCCCCACAGGTAGACAAGGTGTGTGGCCTGACGACCCGAGCGCCTACCGGCATGCAGCCTACCGGACCGGAGGTCACGACCCCCAGTGGGAGCTCGACAACTCCGCTTCCTTCTGCTGCCCCTTTCAAACCTCTGCCAGAGCAGTGGCTGGGGCAGCTCGCCCATTTGAGGAGGTAACACAAAACAATGATAATGATTTCAACACTGATTCCATCCAGACAAATGTAAAAGTAGAAGGCTGGAGTGATGCCTAATGGATTTAGTATTACAAGTTTAAGGTAATTAAAAAAAAAAAAAGCGTCGATCCCTGATTCAAGATACTTTTCATCAGTAAGCGTCCTCCAACTGTGTGCCATGTCACATGACCTTTTTTTTCTGGTCATGTTCATTTGACCGGAGTGAGCAAAACAATGGCTCTGGCTAATGCTAGTTCTGTTAAACTACGCAAAGCAGACCAGAGGACAGTAGGAAACATGGCAAATCCAACTACTCTGACATTTCAGACCGACCAAGCTCATTTAGACAAGCAGTATGGGAGCATTTTGACTACCCGGTTGAGAACAGAGATGGAAATTGCTTCAGTATTTGTCTAAAGTGCTTCAAGAAACTCCCCCAAGTCACATACGACATGTCAAACATGTAAATTCATCTTTAACTGTTAGTCTCAGCCTTAAATGATTTATTCCCCACAGAAGTTGAAGCGGGGTTTGTCTTTACCGGAACGTCACACGCAATTTCTCATTCCGAGAAGCAAATGTTTGAAAGCGCACAGCCATCTTTTTCATCCTCCACGACGTTACACTCTTGCATGCCCTCCACCTGGCCTTTGAGGCGGCCCTCCCACGGCCGCAGCAGCTGGCACTGCTCTGCCGGGCTATATGGGCAGTGTGGGTAAGCTCAAACTTAACAAACCAACTATTTCCTGTTTACCCAGACAGCCATACCACCGAATCTTAACACCGGCTGGCCTCAATTGAAATAGTACGGCACACACATTCTGTCTGACCTTGTCCCAAACCATGAATCACTGCGCTGATGCCAGCCACACTGACAGGTCTAACCTGGCAATGCCACTATCATTCATGGCAACACACTCCAGAGCTCCTCGTCGGCTGCCAAACCTGACCAGAGCACGTGCGGGAGCTGACCACTTCATAGGCGTTTACCGCGCCGCTGAAAAAGAAAGTAGAGCAACGCTTGTGTTTCATTTCAGTGGGATGAAATAGGAATTCCCAAAGTACAATTGAACAACTGCCCTAACTGAAATCAGACGTCACAGCACAGAATCTGTTTCAAGGTGGTAGTCAATGCGGGGAGAAGGGATGGTCGACGGATGTCATTGTGTTTGCGCATGTGCATGGGTGTCTTTTCCTCCTCACCATGTCGTGTCATGATGTGCTATTGTTTCTGTTTTCTGTCTCTCATTGAACCTTTTACCCCCCCCCCAAATGTGCCCGTTGAAAAAAAGCATGCCGCATTCATGAAACCAGAGTTGTCGTTCAACCTGAACACATACCTCAGGACCCTGTAAAGTGAATTCAGAGATTTTCATTTTTTTTATGTTTGAAGATAATTGCTGAAAACCTGCAAAGACTGAGAACTACGTAGTGGTCAATTTGGGAGACATAAACTTTTTCACCGTTTTTAGCATTTCAGGTTAGCTGGTGTTTATATTTATTTATTTATTTGTTCATTGTTATTATTATTTTTTTTTTTGCCATCGACACACTTTGGCAGCTTCTATTTAAGAACTTGACTGTTTTCATTCACATCAGCGTCTTTATCTGACACACACTGATACATGCAGTTAGCTAGCTAAGGGGTAAACCTTGAAAAGCTTTCTTTTGGACTATCAGATGGCATGACCGCTTTTGAGTGCTTTGTTTTTGACCGTGAGTGTGCGTGTGTACCGTGTACAGAATGGTGGAATAAAGAGGAGGTGGAAATGAAAGTCTGACTTGACAGTCAGCGTGTAGAATTGGCACGTCGGGCTGGCGTGGCCGCTGTAGAGCGCCTTGTTGTCAGTCGTGAGTGCACACGTCACAGAGAGAAAGCGGAAGAGTGAGGTTTGAGAAAAAAAAAAAAGAACACGTCCGATTTGTGTGCAGGGTCTTCACACTGGCTTGCCCATTTTAGAGCGCCTCATTGTCACTGTCTTTAGTTGTCATTGTCATTATTCCAGCCACTTGAGGCACATCTATCTTCACAGTTCGGACATATAATCTGCAGGAATAAAAACACTGGATGACGTCACATCCATTTTTTTCAGGTTGTGGAAGAAGTTTTTGAGCATAGGCGTCGTCTCACCGCATTCAGCGGACATGCCAGCGGCGTTCAAGAGCAGGGACAACGTCTTGATTTTTCACTATTTTGAAGCCTCATTTGAAACACTTTATTTGAATGTTTTCTTTTTTTTTAATCATTCAAATTTTGTACGGTTGTGAATAAAACACTTTTGTGGTGTGTCAAATTTAGGACAGATATTAGAGTTCACTTTACGGGATTATCAAGCGCGAAATGCAGTAATTGTGTTTGGTTAAGAGTGCCTGTGCAGCTTCTTATTCATACAGGTCATATTAATAATTCACAGTAGCTGAATCAAAGTTCTTTTTCAGAATTTAACAAACCATTTGGATTAAAGGCAAAATGTCAACAAGACGTCCACTTGGCCTCAATGCAAACTTTCTTGGGTCGAAAGTTAAAATGGAATGAGCCAGCTCTTTGAGGACGGTCGACCATCCATCTGAGCTCCATTGTCGGGGTCACTTAGCAACCAGTAGAGGGCAAAATGAGGCTTCACTGGCGACAGTTGCTGTGAAATGCACCCCAGCTCGCATAGAGAGTGTTGGGTGGGTGGTGTGGAGCGGGGTGTGGAGGGGGGTCATGTTACTGCCATAAAATTCCCAGCTTTCCATTGACCCTTTTGGAGGAGACGCATCAATAATTGCGGCGAGTCGTCTTTGACGGAGAATTTGAGCCTTTTATCATTCGTCTTCATTGTCCTCGTTGTTTGCTTGAAGGATTGCGCTGAATTTCATGACGTCACTGCAGACAAACAGGTCTTCGAAAAGCATCAGTTATGGAATTGATCTTCTACTGGGTTTCAGTCAACCCTCCCAAAGAAAATAAACGGAAAGTAACGTTAGCTGGATTGAGATGAGCTGAACAAGCGTAGGGAACGATTAGAAATAACTATTAAAAATAAGTGAGGTGAGCTATTTGTAGATATGCGCTAAATTTTGCTTATGCGTCTCCCAAATCATATTTCAGATGCCTTTGATCACTAAAGACACCAAAATGACATGCATCCAGATGGCAGCTGGCATCGCTCAATTGCTCTCGCTCACATTCTGTATCTCCTCAGGGACTTCCTGATGTACCTGCAACGCTACAAGTCTTTCTATTCGGCGCTCCCAGAGATGCTGTGCGAAGGGGAGAACGTGGTGGATGATGCCACATGCTGGAGTGGAGATGAGGTGGTCGAGAGGTAAGATGCCGAAATGACACGCAGAGCAGGAATGCACGCACGGACTGCGGTGTCATAAAATGATCTCTTATTAGTTCCATCAAAAAAATTCCAACTCAATCTGAAATTCGGTCAGTAAAATGCTCCAATACCAAAATACTCACACAGATTCTGGCTGGACAATTTGATGATATGAATGACTCGAAATTATTTGGACCGAATTTGTTTGTCCAGCATTCATGATGAAATTATAATTTCTTCTTCGCTGGACAATTTGATGATATGAATGACTCGAAATTACTTTCTTCTTCTTACTTTTGGCACTGCTACTTTTTTTTTTTTTTTTTTACTAAGGTAAACAAAAGTAGCCCAGTGCCTTTTCCCCATGACCTGCACCGAGTAGTAGTACTTGTCACGTCTCTCAATTGTGAATTCTACTCGATTAAGTTATATTTTGCAGCTCATTGCAATGTGATGTATACTTGGACTGGAGAAAATATGAGGCCTTTATGCCAGCCTCAGTGGCTGTCAAAGTCATCTTCTCTTCTCTTCCGCAAACCAGACTATGTGTGCCAACCGCATATTGAGCAGACCACCCATTCACCAGCGTCCATGACAGTGCGTCAGCACACAAAGTACAGTTGGCAGCCACTGCATCAGTGCCAGCTTCATGATCAGGAACATATGACAGGCCGAATGTCCATTTTGCACCTAAAGCTCGACTTTTTTTCTCCGCCCCTCTACGCAAGCTTCCATTTTTTTTCAATGCGTGTGAGATTACCAACACGTCGACTTTCAACAACAGCGCTAATAGTTCAATGGTGTGTTATCACGCACTCCCCCGGGTTTCGAGCCAGATCTTTTCTTGTGGTGTCGAGTAGTGTTAGGGCGAATAAGAACCCTACTGAGACATTTGGCACCATGCGTAAACTCTCCAGACCGGCTTTGTGGTGAGAAGCTGACGTGAGAGAAAAAGACCAAGAAGAAGATCTGGGCATTAAAAGCATTAGCGTTGTGATGCCCCCTTGTGCCTCGCTGTGCCCCTGATGAGGGCAGCATGGTACAGTGACGGGGGGAGGGAGACTTGGCAGCATAAAGACCCATTGTGGAGGCCCAAGAATGGGCCACGGCCCTGCCATGGGGACCCTCAAAGCCTTTAGGGTGAACAAAAGACCTTCCTATGAGGCTGCATGGGAAAGACTTTACTGCCGCTACAGCTGACTGTCCACACCGTGCTTGGGAAAGTTAGACGAGAGCCTCGGAGAGAGAGGGTTTGAATGACAAATATGAGAAATAGGGAAATACATCATAGATGTATGCTTCGTTGCTTAAAATTGACCTTTTTCGTCTCCAAGGACATGTTGGGCTTTCCCCACAAATACAATAAACCCCCGCACAGTTGCACATCTATCACCACTGGGTTCGTATTCTACTCAACAGCTGGAGGGGGCGTTTCATGCGATTGCACCGTGCTCGTGCAAGCAACGCCAATGCGCACGCTGGCACGCTGTAATACCTCAAAGCACATTAAAGGCAACGGGGATTGACATTCCCTTCCTCTTTATTCCGCCTCTGATGACAGGAGGGGGAGGGACGGCGAGCGGTCATAAACGTCCAAACGCAAAGTGTGTGCTGGCATGAATTCAAAGATCTGGGGAACACACGTGTGAACACTTTGCGCCGTCTGTCCGGAAAGATAAGATCAACCAAAATGACCACACTTGTTTAGATAGGAGTAATGTACGAGTTGATTAGAACCGTTTTCAAAACAACAACAGTGATAACATCAATAGTCATGGAAAAAGCAGCGAGAACTACTGTATCAACGCGACAATAATAGAACACATTTTACACAAGGTCAATAAAGCAACAGCAACAATAACAATAACACTAAAATCATAATGATAACAACATTAAAGTAAAACAATTTATTGACATCTCTCAGGAGATGTGCAATAAATTAGAGGAATTATGAAGCGTGGCACCGTTAATTAAGTGGAGTAGCGGTGTTGTGAAGAAGCTGCCCTCTACAAAGGACACTCAAAACAAACTCAGTCGGTGTATTGCTGTCATTAGTTTTCCGGTGTTTTACGTACAGTAGTTTATTCTGGGCCGCGAAATCAAAGCTACAGCCATGGCAACAAACAGTAAAAATCTAAATGGACCACAAGGCCCTGCCTTCTGGCGCCTAGCGGCCTCACCACACTGCTGCCTTGAAATTACTTAATTAAATGATTTGAACCAGGAAGGAGTCGACACTCAGACTTGATGCGAGTAGCGTCAGAAAACTTGGAAAATCCCCGCCCGGGAATGTTTTTTTTATTGTGTCGCCGGCCAACGAACGCCTGCACGATTGCATTTGTATTTATGCTATTTTAAATGAGAATAAAATACAAGCGATTTATCTGAAAAATTCGTTCTCTTAATACGTCATTTTTGATCAGACGTTTTTCAACGCATGCATACAAGATCCACAATTCTTGCGTAAAAATGACCATTCAAGGACGGCACACAACTGCTGAACAAGAAAACAACATTGCAGTGCATCAACTCATTTTGTACATTTGTTCGCAATAATCAACTCACTCCAAATTGTAATGTTCGTGATTTACAACTTTTGTCCTGCATATCATTCCAAATCCGCTCAAAAATATTTGGCCCACTAACGTAATATAGGGCAGTGTCAGCACAACTAAGACATGTCTGCCATCTGGTGATCACTGGTGATAATACAACTTACTACAGTCGACACCCGCATATTTGCAGTTTAGCACCCACGGATTTGCATATTCACAATTTTTTTTTTCACATTTTGTCCCAAGATTTTCTCCTCAGATGTTTTTCAGTGTTTTATGAGGAGTTTGGGGGATCTGGGAAAAAAAACCCCAATAATAATAATAATAATAATAATAAACTTTTTAAAATGTTTTTTTTTCACCCCATCACTGGTCTAAATGAAGCTCCTCAACGATCTTCAGTACCAAGATACCACAAGATGGTGCCAAGGCAATAATGTGCACAAAAACAATGAACATGGGAGCCTTTCAGCGAACAATAGAGCATAGATTCCAAGTAACATATATCAGCGAAAGCTGAAATGCAAATGTGCGAGGCGTTCACTGTACAGCAAGTGGTCCAATCATTCAAACTGATTTCAGAGGTTACAAGAATGTGTGTGTGGGTGAGTAATGGATGTGTGCGCGCTCCATTGTTATTGAAAAGATGGATGACCGCACAGTCATGGCCATATTTCACAAACTGATTTCAATGTTTGGCTTCATTGTGGACGATGGACCACAGACGGTGTAAGAGCTCCTGAATGCCTTGCATTTTTATACGTTTATGACAATCCATTTGTTTATGATTCTGACATCTGGAATTCATTCCGTCTGTGCGGTGAGAGGTGGGGGAGAGTGTTCCACCAGGCAAAAACCCTGCCCCCCGTTCCCCCCTCGAGTCTCTGCTCTGCTCACTTTTCCCTCATTTGTCCAGTCCAATCAGTCCGTCGGCTAATTGTCCCACCTGCCTCCCTAGCAAAGGGGCTTGCTATGAATGTGTGTTGTCGCAGAAAATGCTCTGTTCAATGCACTGTGATTAGTTGAAACTAGCCTTGAGATCCAAGTTGAAGTTGTTCCGTGACAATGCTTGTAACTCAATACATCTCAAATCATTTTCCCCATTTGAGGTGAATGAAAATGTAATTACATTTTTTTTTCACCGTGTGTCCGCAGGGAGTTGGTTAAAACTGCTCACAAGCTGCTGTAAATTAGTTGATGGTTCATATGTCTGTGACTGCTGTTTTAATAGTCGAATGAAATGTATGTAAAGTTTATAGTGTCCTTTGCATAAATAGTAAAGTTACTAAAAGCAACTTTACAAGTACAACATGTTTGCCTACATTTGGTCCTCCATTGCGCTCACTAAGTGAAGTGTGTTTATTCGTTTCCAGCAGTCTCCAGTGAGAATTTATGACGGACCTTGGAGGTGTTATATGTTTGTAAAGCGTGCCTCCAACTTTCCGGTGTTCTCTTGCAACTTTTAAATGCTGCGTGTCCAGCCTGTGGATGGCCTATGGATGGCTCGATGTAATCTCATTAAAGTGCCACAATAGGCTTAGTGGATGAGGAAGAGCACCCAGCTACCATTTCACTTGCCCCCCCTCCCTTCCCCTCCCGCCTCGCATAACATGGCACTCATTGCAGGAAATGATGAGAAACGGGAAGTGGAACGGAAGTATGCGTGAGGACACGGTGGATGCAAGGGAGGATGGTGAGAGATAATTGATGGATGAGAGATGTGGGTCAGTTGTAGGAGGAAGCTCGAGCCACAGAGGCCTCGCTGTTTGTGTGTGTCATTGTCTTGTGTCTGCTTCCTGTGTGTGGAGGTATAGTTTGACACACTTTAGGGCACATCACGCCACTGAACAAAGGACAAAACCATCAGAAGAACTTATGAGAAGGCCATCGTTTGGTTCCCAGGACCCAAACTTGTCATAAATTGCTGTAACATTGCTTGCCATATACTCTACATACACAAATGACAGTGAACACAACCAATAAAAATGTATGACGTGATTAAAAATGCCCTTAGCCGAGAAATCATGTGCCTGACAATCAACGAAATGAAATAATACTGATGCGCAACCCATTTTGGGTTTGAATAAATTGAACGTGACATCATGCGCACAACGTATGTGGGAGTGGGAATGCAGACATAGCGGCAAGCAGGCCAAATGTTGCTATTTCCACTGCCCTATCGTTAAAGTCAAATTGTCGGAAATATTAGCCCGATCGTGTATTTTGTGGTGTGCGGTGTGTTCACGCATTTACTGGCAGTTGTTTTCAGAGTTCTCCCCATATTGCCAGCCGTTTTAGAGCATTTTGACTGACCCTTCAAGACCCACGGAATATTATTTGTGACAATATAAGCACCAAACCGACCAAATGAAAGCACAGAAGACGAGCTTTTTCCTTTCTTGAGTCATCAGCAGGAAAACATGGGTTGTTTCACCAAAACCACCA